CCAGACAGTATGTGTAGACATACAAATGTGAATCTATATAGAGATTTACAATTATGTAACAGAAAGAAAGTCAGAACTAGAGTGATCAACTATAAAAACACTCTTAATTGCATGGAAACTCCCTGATTCTCTGGTACCAGTGCTACTTACTAGCCCTTTCCTCAAAAGCAGAGACTAGAATGAATTCATATCTTCTGTTGCTTGCTCAGTAAGAAAGATGACTGCTGACACTTATGAAAAGTAGCTCTGAGGCCCTCGAGTCGGATGCAGCAAGGCAGCAAAGAATATTCTAGCAATATCTGAGAACAGTGATAGATAAAAACCAACAAGTGAAGGGTTTTTTTCAATAATCTATTTTATTATATGCAAACAAGCATTCAACATCAAACCCGTGTATCAAATTTACACAAGCATTGGTAACAGAGCTAATATTTTACAGTTCATACAGTGTGTCTTGCTGAGCTTTTCCCATCAGCGTAGATACTCCACCTCCCAGAGGGGCGGTAGCAATGTTGATAGGAGAAGCCAGGATTTCAGTCGGGATAACTGCAGCGCTTAGGGGTAGGTATTAACCACACCCCTGAATGACGTAGTTATACTGACATAAGTTGGTTATGTAGACCAAGTCTGGGATTCCAGTCTACCTTGTTTCTGTTATATGAAGAGATATAATGCCCTGGGTACAGATATGAAGGAGCTGGAGAATAAGGGGCAAACCCCATTTGTAATATTGCTCTGTGATTAAGTGTTGCACTGGCAACTAGTGCAGTTGCAGGTAAATTGTTGGGTCAGCTGTTCTGACATCTCTTCTTGAACCTTTTTATACACAATGAAAACTTCACTTTGGAGCTGTCTGTCCTCCATTCTCATTTCCATCTCCTTTCAGAAGTAGTCTTGCTTCAATTCCTTGCCCTCCTGCCTGGGCCTCTCCTGTTTGTCAGAGGTGGCTCTTGTTTTCTTCTCTTCAATATTTGGCCTGAGTCTATTCATGTGTCTGTGCATATCCATGAATAGGTCTTCCCTCTTTTTCATATTCCTAGACCTGAGGTTTTTATCCATTCCACCACTCTGAATCCCATCCACTTGCCCTCACACCTGCTCTGGGACAGCCATAACCCGATAATAGACAGTGTAATAAAAAATAAGAAATTATAGTTAATAACCAGAGCAACAGCCCATTCTTCCCTCAGAATGCAAGTAATAAAATAAAAGTGACACTTCAGTTCAGTTTCAAATTTCAGTGCCTTCTGGGGAGCAATGAGCAAAGGAGCAATGGTCTCAAGTTGCAGAGGGGGAGGTCTAGGTTGGATATTAGGAAAAACTCTTTCACTAGGAGGGTGGTGAAGCATTGGAATGGGTTACCTGGGGAGGTGGTGGAATCTCCAGCCTTAGAGGTTTTTAATGCCCAGCTTGACAAAGCCCTGACTGGGATGATTTAGTTGGGGTTGGTCCTGCTTTGAGCAGGGGGTTAGACTAGATGACCTCCTGACATTTCTTCCAACCCTAATCTTCTATGATTCTTACAAAGCCACCATCCAAGGGACTGAGCCACATGGAAAGGCCTGAGCAACAGCTAACCCAAGGAGAATTAGGCCATATCTACACAACCACTTGTGTAGCTCAGCAGTGTGAGAAAAATACCCTCCTGAGGACATAAGTTACACCGACATAAGCACCAGTATGTACAGCGCTATGTTGGCAGGAGAGCTTCTCCCGCCGACGTAGCTTCCGCCACTCATTGGGGGTAGTTTAATTATGTCGACAAGAGAGCTCTCTCCTGTCAGCAAAGAGCAGCTACACAAGAGATCTTACCGCAGCGCAGTTGCATCGGTACAGCTGGGCTGTTGTAAGCTCTCTAGTGTAGTCATAGCCTAAGAGGGTTTCTGTTGGGACTGGTTGCAAACACAGGGATTGTTTGGCAAGAAACTGTGTCTGAGAGTCAGGAAGCCCACAAAGTCAGAGAAGCAGTCATGAGCATAGCCCTGAAAAGGAGCCGAGAGACAGAGCTTCTTGGGCACAGAACACATTGGACAGGCAGGCTTGGAAACTCTGAGCAAGGAAACTGCTGGCTGTTGCTTGTTTCTGTAGCGTTCAGAAAAACATGACTTTATGTACACAGTTTGCAAATAAACAGGATTGCACCAAAAAATACATCTGAAATGTAAAAAGCAACAGAGGGTCCTGTGGCACCTTTGAGACTAACAGAAGT